CACGGACGTTGTCCACCAGGGAATCCTAGTTTCCAATCCCGGTTACGTAGTCTATAATATCTATGGTATTATTTATTACATAGATATTAGAGTAAATGAAAGGGATTGGAAACGGAAGCGTGGGCGTAGCCCAACCTCCATTCATTTGTATTGCTGCTAGGCTGACAGAGGCTCGTTGAAATTTTTTGTCACAATTTACCCGGGCCTTGATTTTCTTTCTTTTAGGAGCAATATCTCGCAAACAAGTGTTCCTATGCAAGTGAAATTAATGCATCAAGAAGCCTAATGTTTCCTCTTTATAATTCTGTTTTCTATTGTATAGATAATTTTACCATGTTAATGTTATGGCACTTTTAAAACCATAAAATGTATTTTTGTCATTATAATCCCTTTTTTGAAAACAAGCTAGAGTAAAATGCAATATCTTTATAATCATATGAAAGAGTTTCCATTTGCATATGGAATGATACTAGTTAAGGTTAGAATTCATGAAACATGAGTTTGTTACTACAGAAAAAGGGCGAAAAGTGAAAAAATTTTGTTGTACCTATAACTCGTTGCAAAATAACGTTGTAGAAGTAAAAACCTTGCTGCAGGTAGTCCAACACTTTCTATATGGAACGGTAGGTATATCATAAGTAAGCGTCCTCTTGGATCTCCACAAATATCCTTCAAAGTCCTTGCAGTCCAGCCTCACTAATGGAGGAGATGGGAAATCAACCAGGTATTGGGCCGGTAACCAATAGCAACATCAACCAGCCTACGCCCCCGTTTCCAATCCCTTTCATTTACTCTAATATCTATGTTTATTATAATCACGAACACCACGCCCACTTTCTTAGTGTCTTCAATCGTCAGCTCACAGGCCGGGCCACTGCAGACTGCACAGTTCAATATGCCTCAAGAGAAGTGCAAAATCTGCGGCCAGCTTGAAGAAAAATGCGAGTGTTTCTCCCAAGAAAAATGTGGAAGTTGCAAAAAAAAGGAATCCGAGAAGGACGGGGCGCTAGGGGTGGTGGCACCAGTTGAACTATCCGCCACGGTTATAGGGCCGGGCCGAGGGCAGTGGTTCTCCGGCTTCTCATTTAAAACCGTGATCCTAAAGTGCAGGAAGTGTGACTGGCACGATGAAAAAGGTAAAACTGGCAATGTATTGTGGAAGAGCATACAGTGGATAAATTGTGAAAGTTGCAGAAAGAGGGAAGCCGAAGCAGTGAAACTTAAAGCATTGGAGGAAAAAGACGAACAAATTTCTTATGAAGAAAAGAAATTAAATGATCAACTGAAGCAGAGGAGACTGGCATTTGAAGAACACTTGAAAAAAGATGAACCGCCAGATGACATGATTGCTTTATTAACGCCACAACCAATGGCGGGCTGTCAAATGCATATTCAGAAAAAAGCCGCTACTAATGTCAAGAGTTTCAATGATTGTGAACAGCCTAATGGGCCTAATCAACCCATGGCCTCAAGCTTAGATGAAAAGAGAGTTCATGGGGATATCTCTACTAAAATCGAAAACAGTCCATTTCAAAATTTAGGAAGCAATGGCAATGACATGATGCCACAGCAGGGTCATCTGAATTCTGATTTAAACCATGAGACTCCAAGCCAAAATCTGCAGCATGAGGCTGAAAATGAGCATTTGAAGGCTGCAGAAGAGCAAATCAAATTAAGGGAACAGTTGCTAGAGAAGAAAGGACATGAAGCAGCAATAGAAGAAGAAAAGATGCAATCTAGGTACAATGATGAACAAGAAGAAAAAACGGTTCGTAGATTGATAGAGCTGAATGAAGTCAAGATTCAAAAGTTTATGGAACTTAATACGCTCAGAAAAAAGCATGCACAATAAGAAAACATATAGCTAAAAAATATCTTTTATTTTAAAACTATAAATGTAAAAATAACAGCATTCGTGTATATATAGTTATATCTCTCATGAATTGGAATCAGATTCAGAGTGGGTTTCCTCAGTTTCTTTGATCATAAGGCGGTCCATTAAAGATTCACTCAGTGAATCAAGCTTTAAAGCTGTAACAGGTAGCAATAATGATCGCACATCTTCTGCACTGACTTCTTGTCCATTTTGAAGCATTTGTTGTACAATCTTTGCTCTATTGTTTTCTGCTTTCTGAATAAGTTTCATCCTTTCTGATTCTACTTTGGTTACAGCACTTGCAACAGATTTTATTTGTTCTTTTTTTATCTCTGCAGATGTATTAATTTTTTGCATCTCTTTTTGGTGAGCTAATTCAGCCTTTTTGTCATCAATTTTCTGCTTCTCATTTAACTCCCATCTCCTATGTTCCAATTCTTTGTCTAGTTTATGTTCTTTAAAAGTCATGTCTCTGTCTTTCAATGCCAGTTCCTTCTCCTTCTCTGCATCCATTTCCTCCTTTCTGCATAATCTACATTTTCCTATCGACTGTGCAGACTTAAACCATCCACTTTCTCCTTCAATTCGACCACAGTTCAAGCACTTCACTTGAGGCATACCAGAGTATTAATTCTACGACTACGCATACGTGATAAGGTACGTAACGCCGTATAAACGTACGTCGAGCCATAAAAGTGACCAATCAAAATGCTAAATTATGTTGTTTACTGTCTCGTCCCTAAAAGTCCATTTGCATTCACCTGAGCCCAGGAAGTGATTACAGACCCCACCCAGTAATTAACACAATGCAATAATATTGAGAAAAGTATGGCTGTACTTTCTGCATGGGTTATACAACCAACTTGGAGCTAAAGAGCTACAGCTGCTTCTTAAGTATCACAATAGATGCGGCAAAAGGAGAGGAATGCACTGGTATGCTTATTTTTACAGTAGAACTTGTAAGTCAAAAGTTATAGCAAGAAAATGAGGGCTCAGGTGAACACAAATGGACTTTAGTCTCGCGGGCCGACTACTGGTTGGGGCCCGCGCCCGTGAGACTACTCGTCCCACCCCTTCTAGCTATTATTAAAATTACAAGCATAATGAAAGCCACAATTATTTAAAACGTGCATAACAATTTTTCCCATAATCGATCCTAGAATGCATCGCAAAGTAAAACTATAAAAACCAGTCATCAATGGCAGCCAGTTTTATAGTTAGAAGCCTGAGAAACTAAGCAGAGAGAGTACCCGTAGCTGTATGGCATAAAATAAACTATGCCAAAAATATATGGCATAAAAGTACAAGGTATAACTAATGGCCAGTTAACCCTAAAATGAGGAAGAGAAGAGTTTATGCATTTGCAGCATAACAATTTAAATGAGATAGCGAGAGAGGAAATACTGCAGGCTGAAAAAAGTGACTGATGAAGCTTGTTTACTGAAATGAGTGCATCCAAAAATAGTGATATACATGTATTAATGATTTATTGTCAGATGTTGGTAAATGGTGTGAAGCACTTCTGTACACTAAAGTTTGTGGCCAAAAATTTCTGCAAATGTTGAGGAAATACTTTTCTATCAGGCCATGGCCATGGCAGGCTACAGAAAACTATATGTGCTTGTTTAAACTACTCAATAGCAGACTACCTTATATGGCTGGCTTAGCAGCAGTGATGTGTGATAGACTTTGACTATGCCTACATGTATGCCATGTACTTCAGTCATCAAAATGGTCACTTGAGTTGCTATGAGCTCGTGCATTCCTGCATTTAATCTATTATTGATAAGAGAGAGGCTGATGAGGGAAAAGAGGGAGATGTACACAATATCAGTTTGTTTAAACTTATAATGAAAGGTCAAAAACAACAAAATTTACAATGTCTCTACACCTTGTGTACTATTTATGTTCTTAAAATTGTTGAAATTTTTTGTCTTGTTCATTATTGTCGTTCTTTCTTGTGTATATTCATTTCTTCTTTCTAACCTGGTTCGGGTTCCTATGCCAAGCCCCTCCCACTCGACCACGCCCTCCTCCGGCACGAAACGCTATCTGTGCTCCACGACTAGTAACGTCATTAAAAGAAAACGGAAATGATTGACTGATGTAATCTGGGTCTAGTGGGTGTGGTTTGTTCCGAGAACGAGGAAGACAAAATGTGAGTCTTTGGGCCAGAGAAAGGAGGAGCTGATCAGGTCTACGACCACCTTTAGGTAATGGTAAGGAGTACTAGAGGGAGAGAGAGAGAGAGGAAGGGAGAGAGGAAGGGAGGGAAGGAGAAATGACTAATACTACTTACATTATTCATTGAACATACATGTACAATAATACTAACAATAATCATAGGCCACCCAAGAGAGTCAGAAAGCATATTCAGTGTTTATACACTTCAGCAATTCTGGGAATAGTACCCACATAAAATATTCATGAGGTTGTTGACACTGAACAAACAAATCATTATTTAGCATGTACATGAAACAAATAATCATTAGGTAGCGAGTGCCAGATCATAAAGCAACAAAGCAGTGTCACTTGAAATAACATAAAAACTTGTTGATCAACAAAACATTAACTAGGGCTTTGCCTCCTCACTATGCCGTGAAGTACATGTCCACTGTACATGCAAACAAACATATTGCATGTATACTAAATAATACACACAAAACCTCAATAATGTACATAGTGACCTTTACACTCCATGTGGCATGTCATGCAAAGGCTAGTATAAAATTATGTACACTATGTACATGTAGTACAGAAAGTACTGTGTAATAGAATAAGGGAAAAAGTGCCACATACTGTATGTACATGTATACTATATAATATGGAATATGCATACATGTACATGAACAAACAGTACAGTATACTGCATATTGGTTTATTTCAAATTTTCAATGCATTAATAATTTCGGAAAAAGCATCGAAATATACGTAGCTTCTCTTAATAACAGACACCTCATAAAGTCATAATGGAAATAGCACTAAGTGTATAAAAAACCTTAACATAAAGGACACCTATGTGATCTGTATAACTTCTTTTGAATAAAAACTTTATGCAATCTCCATTATTCAAAAGTTCCACCATAATGTACAAGTACCTTGTATTAATGACTTACTCTGAGTCCTTTATCACTGAACTGTTTATCACTGAGTGATGAATAATGAATGAGGCCATCTTTACCAACATCAGCTAGCACTTTAATCATTGACTTGTTGCCACAGTTAGGACAAAACAACAGACCACTTTTAAAATAAACCCTATTAATAATAATAAGTATAGGTTTATTAGGTTATACACCGAGGTAGAGGTTTCTATGGTATTTATTAACTGAGCGACGCAGTCGCGAGGTTAATAAATACCATAGAAACCGATACCACAACCTACATGTAGGTTAATATGAAAAATAATTGACCTCCAATACTGCAATTTGATTGGTCAATTGCATTTTGGCATGGTAGAATAACAATAATAACAAAAATAATAGTAATAGTAATAATAATAACAATTGTGTTTGTTTCTTAACAAAAATACTAATTATTATCATTACACTGGTTGGTGGGTGCTTTATTATAAAGTTGAGATTTTCCCATTAACTACATGAAGGATTGAATATATGTACAGTTGAATAATAGGAAAACATTCAACCCCAAAATACAGTCTCATAAGTACATGCGCACTAAGTATGGAATAAATATATAATTGTATGTTTACCTTTTCTTGGCTTACTTGAAGCAGGCCTTGCATTGTTGAGCGTAGGTTCTTATTCTCTTGATTAACATTCCATCAATGGAGACAACATTAAGACCAATCCTGTAATAGGACATTCTGAGAGAGAGAGAGAGAGGGGGGGGGGAATGAAGAAAAAATAGAGGGAGAGAGGGAAAAGAAATACAAGTACATGTACATGTTTATGTGGGAAGAATAAGAAATTGATAGTAGTCATAATAAAAATAATGACCATTAAAATGCCAAATTCACAAAATTTAATTCCTTCCAAAATTTCCTACTATACAGTATATAAATTCATTACAGATGTAGGTGCTGTACATGAATATTTTTACACCAAATGTATACATGAATACATAAACCAAATGTACATGTACATGTATGCTAATAATACTGCATTGAGTAAGCCCCTCTAATAAACCACAGTAATTAATACATGCACACTGTACTAGTGAATATTACCTGCATAGCATAGTCAGTGGTCATACAGCCAACAGATATCTCATCAATAGTCTCCTCCATCAATCCACCAATACCATCACAAACTGACTGATAATTATCAGGAGTAATCCAACTATCATCATCATCCTCTCCCTCTCCTCTTTCCTCCTCCTCCTCTTCTTCTATTTGCTCCTCAAGACTGTCATTAGTTAGTGCTGTATCTTTATCTCCATCTATAAATATGTACATGTGCATCATTATGAGTGTGTGTGTAGATTAGAATATGAAAAAGGCAATTTATTTTAAGCATCATTTGAGGTGATTTTGGGGCCAGTTTTTGGAAAAAAAACCATAGGCTATAGCCTTGGGTATCTTTCAGACTTTTGGCAATTTCTTAAAATGGCTGTAACTTCAAAAATTGAAGCTGGAATCAGTTCAAACTTTCTACATAGCATAAGGACATCAATATGTATCAGAAAATGTAATAAAAATTTGGGATGATTTCCGAGCCATTCTTCCAAAAACCATGGGCTATAGCCCTGGGTATTTTTTCAAAAATTGGCCATTTAAAAAAAACGGCCATAACTCGAAAAATTGAAGTCGGAATCGGCTCAAACTTTCTACACAGCATAAGGACATCAATAAGTATCAGAAAATGTAATAAAAATTTGGGGTGATTTCCGAGCCATTTTTTGGAAAAAACCATGGGCTATAGCCTTGCATATTTTTCAAAAATTTGCCATTTTAAAAAATGGTCATAACTCAAAAAATTTCTACTCTTTTTTAAATAAAATTTTTGAGGGCTCTGTTCCCTTTTCACTGGGCTATAGCCTTGGGTATTTTTCAAAAATTAGCCATTTTTAAAAACGGCCATAACTCAAAAAATTGAAGTTAGAATCAGCTCAAACTTTCTACATAGCATAAGGACATCAATATGTATCAGAAAATGTAATAAAAATTAGGGGTGATTTCGGAGCCATTTTTTGAAAAAAACCATGGGCTATAGCCTTGGGCAATTTTCAGAATTTTGGCATTTTCTTAAAATGGCTGTAACTTTGAAAATTGAGGTCTGAATCAACTCAAACTTTCTACAGAGCATAATATGAAGATACTATTAGTCAATGGGAATAGATATAGTACAGTCTTTACCTTGTTCTCTTTCTTTCCTCCTTTTAAGTGTTTTGTTCAGTTGATGTGTCATCACATTCTTTATTAATATCAACATCATTGAGGGAGTCACTCAATGTTGCTTCATTCTACAATAATAAATAAAATTAATAAATAAAATAAATAAATAAATAAAGAACAACAATCTGGGGGTAATTTCAGAGCCATTTTCAGAAAAAACCATGGACAATATATAGTCTTTGCTTTTTACCAAAAACCTGCTACTTTTAAAAAATGGTCACAACTCAAAAGAAAATGTAAAATAAAATGTTTTAGAATCACATTTTAAGCTACACATTGTACATGTACATGTGTAAGTATTTGAGTGACAAGTAGATCAGAAGAATTGAGAACGAGAGCACTAAAGTGCATACCCTCGCCACAGTCTGTGTGTAACAATTTTAATAAATTAAGAGAAAAATAATTAGTGAAAGTTTTGACACAGAAAAGAAGCTTCAGCATGTAAAAACTTAGTGAATGTTTTGAGACAGTGATTTTTTTTGTTTTTTAGCCAGAGAAGAAGCTCCAGCATGCTTGCTGCACTGCTGCAGCAATGTAAAGGTGTGGCTACAATGAAGGTGTGGCCATAGATAGTAGAGTAAATGAAAGGGATAGGAAACTTCCGTTCCCGGGAAATCAAGCTATTTACCCTAGAAAGCGGAGGAATCCGGATACTAGTATACTCTAGCTGTTATTTTCCATCGCCACAATGGGCGACTAGCCTGACTAGGCCTTAATTCGTCCCTTGTAATAGCAAAAGTATGCTTCACAAAGACAAGATAATGGGCGGAAGACCCAGAATAACTCATCTAGATTCTGTATCTGAAGTCTCTTTAGTCATTACTCGTTCAAGCAGTGAGATAATGGTACCCAACTAAATACGGAAAGTTTACTTGTTTTTGAGCATAAAATGTCGAGAAAACAAGCTTTTGGAATTATTAAAGTTGGAAGACCTAAAGAAAAGAATTCTTTAATAGGGGCTTGCTTTAAATCTTTCCTTTATAATATTGCTTTTGAGATAATGGGGACCAAAGAGCAAACTAGTACTTTTTTAACTTTTAATCGCTAATAAATGCAATAGAAGAGCGTAAATCTTGCTATTTTTGGCTACAGCATGATAGTGGCATAACAGCTGATTTCTTTGAAGTATCATATGGCACTGCAATCACTACTATGCAAGTGCTATAGGTGAGAATCAGTGCTGCAGAGATGGAGAGAGCAAGTCTGGCCAGGGGTAACTAGCTTAAGTTGCTAGGCAACCTAATAATCTCAATGGAATAATCCACCCACGCAACGGAAGTTTCCTATCCCTTTCATTTACTCTATTATCTATGGTGTGGCTCAATCAAGCCATGCTCCACTCGCACACACAGTAATGGTGACACATGGCTCTAAGTGGTGAAGAAAGCTTTAGTTTTTCTTGACTTTTAAACAGTTTAGCATACATTTGTTAGGCTCTATTTGTTGCATACAAACGTCTATTGAGCCCCTGATGTTTAAAGACTCTGGCCGCTACTTCAGGAGAAGAGAGCCTCGTGTAAACTCACAAAAGTATGAATTTTTGGGCTACCATATCTTTAAAACGAAGATGATTAGAGCAATTCCTCTCATATTAATGAAAGATGAGGCTTTGCTTTATTGTTTTATCTGCCCAGTTGCTCTTTTGCTCACACTATGAAAAAGTTGTCGGGGAACCGACCTACGTTTGGCGACTTTGCCAGCTTCTTACTCCACGGAAAAGAAAAGTATAGCATTCCCAAGACGAAGAATAACTTTTTCTAGAGCCAGTGTTGATTATAAGACTCTCCAGGACTAGACAAGAAAGCAGTGTCAGCTCAAAAGTGGAGGCCAAGCGAACACACACACACACAGACAGGACGACTGCTTTACCCTCGCTTCCACACCTACGCGTGGGCTCGGGTAATAATTATTTCTTGTATAGTCTTACCTTCTGTGGCTTCTTTCCAGTGTAGAAACCAGCTGTAGAATAAGGTATCCTCTGAAAATAAAATAATAATAATAATAATAATAATAATAATAATAATAATAATAATAATAATAATGATTATTAATGAGACTAAATTTTATCAAGCAATTATAAATTTACATTGTATATTGACTGGTGGTTTTTATTTAATGAATTATTGATAGTTCCACATATATCAAAATGACTGGCTCTATAAGAAGTTCCTTAGCCTTCCATTACATGAACATTAATAAGTAATTACATATAAATTACAAGTTTAAAATTATACTGATATTTTTCAATTTCATTGTATTTATTCCCTTACTTGTTGTTCTTTGTTGGTTTGTATTGGGTCAGTTCTTAAATTGGTTCCTCTTTGAGGCCCTCTCTCCTTCTCCAGCTGGTAAGTGAGTGCAATCAGTCGAAGATCAACAGCTGATAGACTTTGATAATCACCAGTCTTCTTAGAGAAATCAGTTACTAGAAGAGAGGGAGGGAGGAGAGAAAGATAGAGAGAAAGAAAAAAGGCAATTTTAATAATAACATCACTCAATCATCAAGTAGACATTAATCAATGAACTTGTTAATCAAACACACGAACACAACATACTCTATAACATATGGCAATACTATAGTAATAATTTTAACAGTATTTACAAGTATACATACATGTACATGTACATGTATGTAG